GTCCTCAGATGCATCACTGTAAGAGGTACCGGTCCCCGGAGCAGCAGGAGAGCTACCTGGGCCACAGGTGGAAGAGGAAGAGGTCTCGCAGCAGGGACTACGAGGGGAGGCTGCGCTGCCCACCCCGGAGGGATCTCTCCAGGCGATCGCGATCGAGAAGGTAAGAGCGGGTTGGGGCAGAGGGAGGGACGCCCGCCGGCAGCCGCTCCGGCGGGGGGCGGTGGGGAGCGAGCGGGGACGGTTATCTAATAGACGCCCGTCCTCGATTCTGATGGCGTTCCAGAGCCAGCGCTGAGCGGTGGCAGCTTTCATTTCCTGACTGCGGATCAGCCTTAAACCCGTAAATCCCAGGGATGGAAGTAAAGGGCTTAATTGTGTCTGCCTTCCCTTCCGTGTGTCTGTCTCTCTACCTAGCCAAAAGTCCTTCCCAAAGCCATGTCTTTAATATTAACGAGGGCGGACAGCCTGCCCTGGGCTCGTGTTTCCCGGTTCTGATGCTGTGGAGGCATTACAGTCCTTCTCTCCCGACAACCCGTTCCCCTCCGAAATTGTTACAGATCAGATTTAAAGTAACGACGCCTTTCCCTCACCTACGCTGTCAGGAAGGATCTGAGCATCGCTAACTGATCTTCCCTGCTTCGGCTCTGGATTTTACCTTTGATCCTCTCTTTGTTCAGCGTTTCCGCGGGGACAATTAGGTACGGGGAGCGGGGCGGGTAAGGCCTCTGATAACGGGAGCTGCGGCGAGGGTTCTGGAACGGAGGCGGGAGCGCTGGGTGGGGAGCTGCCTGCCGACACGTCGCGGCGCGCGACCGGAATGGGCTGGTGAGCCTCGCTGCCTGGCGGTACCGGAGCTGCTGCGGTTCCACTGGTTGAACGGGGCAGGTGCAGCCAGAAGGGAGCCCAGTTCGGCTTTTAAATTCCTGAGATGTTCTACAGATTAAGTTCTCTGCCGAGCCCGGCTTTTGTTTACTTGAAGGAAGCGGATTGCAAAGTACAGCTGACGCACACAACGGGCTTCTCCGTTCTTTCATCTGACGGGTTACGTGGGACAGATTTGGATGAAAACAGGCTTTCGCTAGGCGAAAACCTTCTTGCCCCTCTAGCCTCAGACTGTGAGCCTCTCGCGGGTTCGCTGGTCTCCTCTGTATTCTAGGTTGTTATTTCTGAATCCTCTGTATCTTAGAAGTACCCACTGAGGTTTCCCAAAGGTGTGTTTGGAGCTGAGTGTCGGCGTTGGAACGGAGCCCTCGGGGTCTTTTTTGTGTTCGGGATAGTTCGGCGGTGACCTAGGGCCGCTGCCGTCTTGGCAGGCCGTTTGAAATTTTAGTCCTGATCCAAGGTGAGGTGAACCACCCCCACGCGTACCTGCGTCCCGGTAAGCCGTCGGCGGAGAGCGCCAGTCGTCGCCAAACCAGAGGGGCGCAAAGGACGCGAGTTACCGTGCACAGCCCGAAGCAG